CTCCTCCAGCAGGCGGAGCCAGCAGTCATCGCCGCCACGGGCACCGGCACCATCCCCGCCAACTTCACATCCCTCAACATATCTCTCCGGAGCTCGGGGTCCTCCATGTCCGTCCCCTCCCAGCTACGATCCAACTACTTCAACTCAAACTTCTCCCTCCAACCTCGTAGGAGCTTGTTCTTGGAGAACTCCAACACTTCCTCCACACTCCTCAATTTCCAATCCAACAACCCCATCTCCACCGGCATGTTCCAACCCAAGCACGAATTGCGCGAATCATCATCTCTAGACTTGTCCTCGGAGAACAACGAAGAGGGTTTGGGAAGAAAAAGGAGGCCATCTGAGCAAGACTTGTCTTCAGCTATGCAACACCAAGTTGGAAGCTATTTGATGCAATCGAGCACCTCGGGGACAATTCCGGCGAGCCACGCTCAGATTCCGGCGAATATATGGATGGTGGCGAATTCCAATAGCCAAGGTGTGAGTGGCGAGGCTCCTTTGTGGACATTCCCTGGGGTTAGTAACAACGCTTTGTATAGAGGAACCATGTCAAGTGGGTTGCATTTCATGAACTTTCCCACACCTATGACCTTGTTGCCAGGTCAGCAATTAGGGTCTTCAATTGGTGGTGGCAATATGAATGAAGGCCATTTGAGTATGCTTTCGGGGCTTAACCCTTATCGGACGGTGATCGGCGTTTCGGAGTCTCAGGCGAGTGAGTCACAGTCACATCATGGTGGAAGCGAGGATCGGCATGAATGATCAATCAACGTGTGTAGTAGTTTGGTGTTTTAACACAACGTGACGTGAGGTTTGATTATTATTGCCCTACGGAATTGAGTTTTGTTTATTTTGGAAAGATAATTATTTTTGTTCTTTTTTCTTCTTTTTTTTTTTTTTTGGTGTGGTTAATATGTTGGAACTTGGAAGAGGTGGATGAATGATGGAAGAGAAGAGGGTTTTTTTTTAGGGTTTGAGAGATATGATATGACACTATTTAATTAACAGTTGGATGATATTATTTGGCTTTATTTCACTACACGATATCTTATCATCATTGTTTGTGCAATTGGCTTTTCTTTTCTTCTCTTCCTTTTTTCTCCCGAAAGCCTTTTGATTTGTAATGTTATGCTTTTTATGTTGAGAAGAGAAAGAAAACGACTCACTTCCATCATAGCTTGGTAAGTTTATTTAATTTCCTTCACATTTTTCATTATTCTTTCTTTTTCCCCTCTCTGATTCCGGGTCACAAGGTTGGTGCGTGGTAAAAGGGATGAAACAGTCTAGCAGAGGGGGATGAAACAGTGTTATTATGTTACTGCGAGAGTGCTGAGGCTATAATTTGAAAATTGTACCCTGGTTTTGGGATTCAAAATCAATCTCCGCCATGAATCTCGAGGTTTGAAGAATGGATGATTAAGATTAATTTTTCAGAGATGGCGGTAACAGGATGGTGGGGTCTGCAAGGCCTTATCGGTTCCAGGTGTTGGCTCCACGGTGGGATCCAGCTGCTGGTTATTGCCCAAACCAATGTACAATGTCACTGACTAACAGGTGGATCATTCCTCAATTTCTTTTACCACCAATATTGTTCATATCAAAATTTTCAATATAATTTATGTACACTAGTTAACTACTAGATCACACATTTTGTTGTGAAGGTTTACTTGGAGACATCATAATACTTGTCGAAATAAGTGGTAGTGGTAGTGATATTCTTTAATTCAATTATTTAGGGTTTCTAGATACAAATGATAATAGTTTTAATTTTTTTATATATTAAATATGAAATAGAATTAGATTATATTGAAAGATAAATATATATTTTTTAATATGTATCTACTGTCTCTAATAAAAATTAATTATTATATTTAAACATAATAAATACTCATATCAATACAATGATAATTAATACGCTCGAAAATAAAGAAGGAAATAGATTTCAATTTCTAAAAATAATTTGTATATTACTTCATCTTCTTCATGTAAGTAGTTAATAGTTTAATTTTTAAACATATATATTACATATTTTTAATGTTTAATTATGCAAATAAAGTAACACTTATTTAATTTTGGATTAAAAAATGATAAGAGATAAAACTAGAGAAATAATAAATGTTGATAGAATTATGATATATAAAAGTATTTATATATAATGACTCATTTAAGAATATAATTCCCTCTTTTTAAATTTTCATTGTGTAAAAGTTATATAAAATATAAAATTTAATTATAAATAGCATTACTTACTTTTTTATTTCTTTCTTTAATTTTTTTTCTGCCCTTTTCATGGAGCTGCTGGCAATGGCTTCAGAGTCTTAATGATCCTCTGAGATATGGCCCACCGATTAATCAATCAGGACCGTCCATTTGGCGGGCCATTCTTTCGATCGCCGCATTGAATGATTGAGTCTGTGTCCACCAAACCATTTTTTATGCAAATGGCATCGTCTTTAGTTTTTTATTGTTATTTAAAAAATACCTTCTATTTCTCTCTCTCTATATATAACTTTTTTCTTTTTCTCTCTAAATTTTAATATTATATATATATATA